AGGTGTCCCATAATTCCCCCGGTTTTTGAAAATCGAAAAATCAAAGGTTTTGCGCCAACAACTGAATTTTTTTCAGCTAATTCGAATTTTTACAAGTGGCAAGTTCCAGAAGATGGGATTTTTGGCGTACTATAACGTACATTTTGCAAATTTGGAAAAAAAAATATTTTTGAGCAAGTTATGAACCAAACAGAAAGTGTGTCCCATAATTCCCCACGTTCCCCTAGCTTTTTTATGTCCTCGATGACCAAATCAATCAGTGGCATTGCTCTGACGTAGCTCATTTGTCGCGACTGATGCAATTTATTGGCTGGCTCCAATAAATCTAACACTCTTTTCAAGAATAAGAGCATGAGAATGAATTTTGGCTTTTGAATGGCGTGCAATATATGTAAACAATAAATGTCGCAGACGATAAATATTCGTTATAAACAAAAGCATATCGAGAATGATTTTATAGGTCTCAATATCAAGTCATTATAGAAGATGGAATAAAACAAAATTCAGAAGTCGTTCGGCAATTCGTTTGGAAGTGTATCGTTCGGCTGTTTTTTTGTGTTGACTAATACTATTGAAGAACGTAATGCAACTCATTCTAATTTCAGTTCCATGAATTATATTTGCTTCACGATTATTCATATTCAAGCATTTCACTTTCGGCTCTCTAAATGAATTCATTACGATGATTTTATTCCGTATTTTGATTTTTGAGATGACAATGATTTTTGGGGTGGCTGAAAAAATTCGTGGGGTGGCGCACCCGTCTAGCTACGAGCCTGATTTAGCGACGACTTTTGCTGTCCTAGTGTCTCAAATTAAACGTGTAATTAAACGCTTCACATAGCCTTTGTCCCTTTGGAAACGTTTACCAAAGGTTATCTTGGACTACTATCAAGCATTTCCATCTTGGTTGTATGACTGTTCTCGTTTTCATGTTCCTACTATTGTGAATACCGCATGATGTACGAAAAGAGCCAGGTTTTTAACGATGCGAGAACTGAAAGTTATCGAAAGTTATTACTACTAACTGTTTATTATTTTAAATATGTAACAGTCTTGCACTCTTTTCCGGCCAAACCTTAATCAAAACTAATGCTACCAACTGTGCTGATTTTTTCAGTATCATACTGATTTTTGGCCAATTTTTGACCAGAAAAATCGATATACTGAATTCAGTATCTATACTGATTTTTTTAGCCTGCGTACTGATTTATACTGATTTTCAACATTCCATCAAATTTTATTCGAAATTTCGGCGATTTACAGAAAGCGACGATTTTTTAAAATACAGGGTGCAACAGAATTGCCTGCCAATATTTTAACCACGTATTGCTGGGGTCAAGATCTATCGAAAATGTACGAAGCACTTTTCTGAATTCGGCCTCTATGCCAAAGTTTTGGCCATCGGCGAATTTTTGGCCGAAAATTCGTACTATGGCAAGGTTGGCACGCAATTCTGTTACACCCTGTATAAATTGTAGTATAAAGTAAATAAATGGAAAGCAGAGATTGCATATTTGCTGCTGGGTAGGCCTGAGCTGAACTGGGTTTGCTAACTCAGGCGCCTGAAGCGGTATTTAAGCGCACTTACGGTGCAAAATTGTTGTGAATCGCTGGAATTCACGCTGTTTATCAACTATATTTGCGTGGATACCAGCGATCCACAACAATTTTGCACCGCAAGTGCGCTAAAATACCGCTTCAGGTGCCTGAGTTAGCAAATTCAGCTCAGCTCAGGCCTACTCAGCAGCAAATATGCAATCTCTGATGGAAAGTAAAGAAACTATTTGCAGAATCTAAATAGGTAGAGATTTTCGAGCCCTATTGAAAATGTTTCCAATTTAATCAAATATGTGCTATTTTTCCAGGAACGCCAATTTTGAGATATTCCGCAAAGCAAATATCCAAACAAGATGTCCACGAATTTAAATTCTGCTCTCCTTTGATCAAATCAAAACTTTGAAGTCAATTTTAATTGATCAATCTAATATGAAATTCATATGCACCGAATTCCGCCGTCATTGGATAACTCGCGCTTTGAATAAAATCTCTACCCAAGAAAAATACAATTTCAAAAAAACAAAACCAAAGCCAAACCAAAGTCCTTGTAAAAGGATTTCGATGATCCCGAATAGCTAAGATCATCAGTTTAAAGACCTTTTGAACTATTTTTTAATAAAATTTTTCTATTTCATCTGAATTTCACTTGAATTCAAGTATTTTTTGGCCTATATTGATTTTTATACTGATTTTTCGAGCAGCATACTGATTTTTTTGAAAAAGATGGTAAGGTACTACTGATTTTTTGCGAAAATGAGTTGGTAGCATTAATCAAAACCCACATTATATTCAGCCAGAGCTTGGCGGTGTTTAATAAAATTAAAATAAATAAATAAATTAGAAAATGAAATATATAAAAAGCTCCCATACAAATATATTCGCATTTTCATCATAAAATCGGCGAAAAAGACAATTTTTGTGTGGGAGGTACCCTCCAATCATTTCCGATTGGCTTCAAATTTTCAGTGGTTTTAAATGAAAGGCGGTACTCAACAACTAGACACTCATTTTTATTGGTTTTGGTGCCTATAAACCCAAATTAATTAGTCAAATAAACTTCAGTTTTCGAGAATTGCAGATTCACCGCGAATGTAGTTTTTACGTGATCTTGGGACTATATGTAGAGATTGTATTTCACAAATTGAGAAATCGTAACGCATCGAAGAGAGTGAGAGAATCTCTCTCGCACAACAGTAAATATTCATAACACGCTGGTACCGACTCAGTGGAGAAAACCAATACCAACGCAAATCAAAACAATTAACCCCCGCACAGGCACATATTTTCAAACCTTAGTTCAGGCACTTGGTGCCTGGCCAGACCCCTATGCCATGTAAATGCATTTGTATGGGAATAAGTGATGCATGCCATCTCATTTTTAACCGAACTGATAAGAGATAAGTGGTATATATCTTCAGCAAAGTTGTCGAGCAGGTCAAGCACTACAATTTTTTCAAAGACAATATCTTCTTATCTCTTATCAGTTTTTTCGCGAAACTGATGAAAGATAACGGCTTGGTGTCTTCGGTAAATCTGTAATATTCAAGGTCCCCTACAAATTTTCTGAGGGCAGATATCGCTTATCTCTTATCAGTTACGCAAAATACGCAGATAACCTCAGAAAAGCCGCGAGATAA